CACAAAGCCGGGGTGAGGGAAGGGCAGGTGGCGTGCCTGCTCCAGTGCTTCTAGAACCTGCTCCTGCTCCCATGTGATGAGATTTACATTCTATTAACGGGCCTTTAAAAATGTAATCGAGAGAGGACTTTGAAGGATTTGTCTGTGGCCTGGATACCCACCCGAAGACTGGGAATCCCTCATTCGCTAAAATGAAAACGCGCCTCTTGTAAGAACAGATTCCCTTGGAAAATTCGTCAGCTAGGCTCAGGAAAGGGAAGGAGCCTGCCTCCATCGTCTGCTTGCTCCTTTGACCGGCTCGGCTGCCAACTCACTGCGCTCAGGTGAGCAAGGTCTCCCGTCTCCACGCTGAGTGCCAGCCCCGGGGACGCTGATGGCGCGGGTGCATTGCTGGCCTCACTGGTGGGGGAGGTGTTGGTAGAACCCAGGGCTTTGTCTGAGCTGACCTGCTTCTTCACTTGGAAAAGAGAGGAATAGAACTGGCCTGCCTGCGAAGAGAGCCCTTTGACCAAGACTTCTGACCAAATACTGGTGCTGAGATGTGCCATGTGTCCATGCTCGAACATTCGTTTTTGCAATGTTTGTTCTAATGGAGTTGTCGTGCGAATGTGCTCTGTGAAAAATTCTATTCTTCACCTTCATTTGCAAAAGGAGGCAACAACATTATAAAAAATTCAGATGGACAGTGTCTGGCTCTTTTATATGAGTGTCATAAAAATGGTCTCTGACTGTATGTTTGCAAATAAATCTACTTAAAAGACCAGTGGCTTCCAGAAAAGCACAGCCCGATGTGCTTTCGTGTGTGAGCTGCGACAACTTAACATATACTCGTTTTCATTCGGTATCAGTATAGGAATTCTTCCTGTGTTTCGCCCCTTTCTAGTATTGTTTCGAGGCTGGTCACTGCCTGGATGTAGGAGGAGATAAACACCATATCACTGCGTGGGTAAACTATGCTATGGTGTTGCATATGCGCACTAAACCACGACAGTGTCCTAAGTCAATTACCAGCTACTTACGAGGGAGTACGCTGCTTTCACACGACCTTCTCGTCTACCAGAAGATATGCTGCAGTTCTGGCGTGATGAGTGAACACCAGCTCACAACATGGGACTCTCTTTCTGACTCCTGTAGCTCCTCCAGTAAAGAAATTGGTTGCGCGCCTATCTCGTGCCACATGTGCTGGTGACAGAGGTTTTCTAGATCAAAGAGGATATATTAGTATGGAAACCAGCTGCTGTGATCTTTAGGTGACAGCGTGGCAACGAGGCTGCCTTGCTTTGTAATCAAGTCAATAGTAGCTGATAAAAATGCTGTAAGAGTCGGTTCCCCCGCGTTGGGCTTTATAGACGCTCCGCGCTGTTACAGGTGGTGTGGGACGGAGGCCGTCATGACCTGGTTCTCGTTGGGTTGTTCTTGCTGTCTTCTACGAAGGGCACAAAGCAGGCACTTGGTTTCAGTGGTGTGCGGTCTGAGTCGTCATCCGGGGCTGTGTACCTCAGCCCCGCCTACGACCCTACCGGAGGGAGAATGGCTTTGCAGGGCACGCTCAGGGTTGCTTCTGAGATTGGAGGCAGCCTGGTGCTGGGTCATGAACTCAGCATTTACGCCCCATCTCAGGTCTCCATGGCAACGGACACCTCGGTAACCCCATGGAAGAGTGGGAAGCTCCTGCTCACTTCTCCTCCCTTCCCAAGTTAGAAAGGTTTCCCCACTCCTTGATTTCCTCCCCGTTGACACTCTGCTGGGGTGGGGGGAGGGCCTGCAATCCAAGGAGCAGATGCAAAGGCCCTGGGACCTCTCCTTGGAGGCCAGTCACACGCCAGTCACTCTGAAAGTACCCACGAGGCAGGACATCCTTTGCTGCATCTACTTGTTTGTCACAGGGGACCTCTGGGCAACACCAGCAGGTGACCCCAAATGGTTAAAGAGCGTGTATCTCCCCAGGTGCCCCGGGCTGGTGCCTACACACGTGTGCGGGTCCCCCCCATCCTTTCTCTTCCCTGGCAAGTGTGTGAGGGCAGGGGGGCCTCCGTGTCCGCCCACAGGGGACCTGCCATCCTGGCTCTTGGAGACAACGGGGGCGGGGGCCTCTCCCTTGGGTCTCTGCCGGCGGGGTGACCTGCATCTCTCGCCGACCGACCCCCAGAGAAGAAAAGAAGGAGGTGGCCGATCCCCCGAGACTGTGCCCTGCTTGGCGGCCCATGTGGAGAGAAACTGTCCCCAGGGCAGTATTGTAGGACTTGGCAGGGAAGCACTGACGAGTTCACTGGTCTCTCTGAGGCGCTTTAATTAAAATTAGACAAGAGTTAGCTACGTCCTGCCCGGAGGCGCTTTGTGCCCTTAAACCGTCTTCCTGTTCTCCCCGCAGCTGAAGCCCCTGCCCGAGTCCGTGGTCTGGAAAGCTCCATCCAAGCTACATTTCAGCCCTGCCCCCTCCCAGCCAGGCGGGGGGAATCCACCCCCGCCTGCCCACTGTCTGCTCCCCTGACGACCAGAGGAGGTTTCGCGCAGCCCCATCACGCTTCCTTTGTTAGGAGCTTCATAGATCACTTCTATTTTCCCAAATTATTGAGACCCGGAAATGAGTGGAGCAGCCACACAAAACATTACCTTTTGATTTTTTTTTATTTAAAAGTTAATAAAGAACTTAATGACAAGTATAATAATTTAATCTATACGTAATGCCGCGTGTACATCTACATATGAGGGAACACTGTACTTTTTACCTTGTTTTGTATCAAAGTTTTTAATTAAATCTTTCTAAGAGAAGACTCAGTATCTGTTAGTGACACATTGCAATTAAACTATGAAATGATTTTGAAAATATTTGTTTCTCTTCTGAAGATAGTTTTATTTTTAAATAGGATTAGCTTATCTTCAGTTTCCTTTTTGACTCTGAAAATTTTAATTTTTTTATTTACCTTTACCGCTTTCTAACAGTGATGTTATACTGTTTACTAGGAGGCCTTCTTGTTGAGATGGACTTATAGCACTCATCAGAAAGCCACTAACACCCTTATTTCAATTCACTGAGATAATCGGGATTCTTAAAACACAGGGGGCTATCACTTGTTGCAAACGTTTTTATAACTTTAGTTAAAAACAGTAGAAAATACATGAAACACATTTTTTTTTTTAATTTTGCCTACACGAAACAATTGCACTTCCTTCATGGCATCAGGTCAACGTGGCTGTCCATTTCCTTGCACAGAAATATTTCTCCATTCTGTTTACTGGTATTCAACGATTTCTATCCTCACATAGTGTTTCCACGAAAGATGCGTGTTTTTTTAAAGCATACACCTGCAGCGGAGTGTGAGCAACCCCCAAAGAATGCTTACATGACACACGCTTCGTTTTTATCGAGTCCAGGTCTGATCGCTGATCACTAGGTCCTTGTAGAATCGAAATGCTTAGAACTAAAATAGATTTGTTGTTGAGTCAGGAGGAAAACGCACAGCAAGGAATCGCTCCAGTGAGAAATGCAGGTAGAGACCCTCCTAGCAAGGGTCGCCACTTTGTTTCTGGCATCTAATCCATGAGGCGTGCGTGTCAGCACTAGATTAGATGTGAACCTTTCGGACAGAAACTTGAAGACTAGGTTTTCTTGTATGTTCACACAACTATTCAAAATTTAAGTTGTACAAAAAAAGGCAAAATGAGATCCCTACTTCCTATTGTGAAAAGCAGAAAATTGATAGACCAAGTCCTTCACAGACTAGGGGCTTTTGATTTCTATAAAAAAGATACTTGCAAAGGTGCAAAATAATGAGTGAAAAAATAAAGGAACTAAGATTTATATTGCAATGTATAATCAAAAGAGAACTCTTAAGTGTCACTGTTTATTTAAAAAATACCTAAAAACATTTGATTCACAGCTTTCCCTAGGTATGTCATTTAGTACAACTGACTAGTAAGCTCAATGGAGGTGGACGCTAAGTGTGTTTGTTCAGCTGCTAAACTAAAGACGCAATTCTCTTTGAGATAGTCAGGTCTTCCACACTCGTTACAGAGCAAAACCAGTTGTATCAAACGTCTGGCTACGCTTTTGGTGATGAACAGTATCTCAGAGACTGATCCACAGAAACGCCTGTTCTCAGGTGGCAGAGAACACCCCTGATTTCTTGGTGACTGTACTATCCACTGTGTGTCTTTACGTGTGTCTTCAGATTCTTGCCAGAATTTATCATTTGGCCTTTGGGTACCCAAAGATTAAAAATGAGATCTAAGAAAGCTTATGTCCAATAGCTCTGACCCTGTCAACTGCAGTGATTAAAGGCATGTCCTGACTTTGGGGGGACTCCTGGCTGCTGGCCATTTGGAAAATGAGCAGTAAACATGTCACAGGGCTGGAGATGAAGGGAATGTGGAGTTTGAGGTGTCAATGTGACACTGAGACATGGTCACTTGGCTTAGCGCTACAGCACATGAAGGCAAATATACATATAGTCACATTTGAGAGATTATTTATGGTCTCCGACCACTTGAAAAAATTGTGCTTTCTCCGGAATTTGATGTGCTGAAAATTGCACTCGCCCCCTGCTTATTTGCAAAATTAAACATAAAAATGAAGTCCTTTGCAAACATAAGGCTTGCTTTTTCTTCTCATTATTAAAAAAAAAAGAACGAAGGAAAGAAAGAAAGGCTTGAAAATAATTATGAGTTTAGCTGTGTACAGAGTGACAGCCAGTCGTTTCGCAGGCTGATGACGTAATACTTGCCGATCTGGGGTGGGGGCATTGAATTGTTTTTACTTATCCCCTTTGACTACATAAACTTCATTTCAGAGTTTACCTCCCATATCCGCGAACTGCAAAGAGCAGCTGCAAGGTGTGACGTTTACAACCTTGCTTCTGTTAATTATCTGTTGGTACAAAAGGCCTTTTTGGTAAGCAGGGTGGGAAGTGGGCGGTGCCGAGCCAGCCAAGGCTCACTCCATCCTATTCGTTTTGGAAAAGGATTTACTTAACTCCAGTGGGTTTTAAAGACGGCCTTTAGGGACTCCAAACACCATGAGTTTTAAAGAAACCAGAGTTTCCATCTTCCATGCTTTTTAGATTCGGGTTTGGATTTTTGCTTGGGAGTTGCGGAGTAGGGCTCCTGAGCGTAAGGCGAAGGTGCGACCTGAGTTTCCTCAAAAGGATGGAGTTTCCTCAGAACTGGCTGGAGCTTGTCTTCTTGCTGCTTAAAGTCCAGCTCCACACTGGGAAGAAGAGAGAGGGGAGAATTTAGTGCTTGATCCTTCCTATATAAAGATCCTCCTATTTGACAGCAAATACGGTGCCATCCTATGGGGGGTAATGTTCATTGGTGTTATGTGTATCATGTGATTTTCTGGCTCGGTAGGAAGCAGTCGGCTGTGATCTACTGTAGCTCTGTGTCACTGTGAACTATTTCAGATAGGTTCATTTTCTTTGAAAATCACTTACTTGCTTTCGATGTGAGTCTTTGAAGTTTTATTAAGGTACTCCGTTGGTGTCAGCGTAGGTAATGTGTTTGTTGAAATGAAAAAGATGACTTCTGAATAACCCTTTTCTGGGCCATAGACTGCACACATGTGCATCATGGAAGAGATAGATAAACAAAAGTAAGAGTGTTTGGGGGGCCATCCTGGCACATACAGAACAGGGGCCTGAAGGCCTTGGGCCTGTGTACCTTTTCATAAGATTAAAGAAATCCATGGATCGCACCTCAAACATGAAATGACCCTGGCTCGTTGTCTCCTTGCAAAACCGTGTCCCCTCCCAGACTGGTGAGAGCCACAGTATCCAGCCTCGGGGAAAAGAGTGTGTTTATGGGGTCGATGCCATTAAGTGTTACTCACTTGTGATCAAAGACAGTTTTCAGCAAGAACATGGTGTTGGGTGACAATAACCCCAAACTGTAATTATGTTGCTGAAGCCAAAGCAACACGTAGCCATGTGGAGGGGCCTTGGGCAGTGGTGATGTTTGTGTCACAATGAAAGGATTGAAGGCGATCTTTTCTTATGAAATTTCTCCACAAGACTCTGCAGCCTGCATGGAGTCCGAGCTTCCCATGGCTTTGGAAAGCCTATTGTTGACCCCCTACCCCCACTAGCTAATTTCTAGAGGACTCCCTTGGCCTTTGGGATAGGATGCCCTGGTCCACACTTTTCTGTGGTGGTCTCAGTAGTGAGGAGCCTTGTCTCCCTTCTCTCCGCCCCTGACCCCTGATTATTGGCACGTGGGCACCAGCCTCTAGAGAATTACGCTCTGTGCTCCTTCAGGTCTGGTTTGGATGCTGACTAAATATCAGTAGATTTCAGTAAAGGCTCCACGATGATGATAATCCATGAGCTCATGACACCGTATATCCATTGGAGCCATAAACCATTTATAAACACGAAATCCTGTTGATTTAGAGAACCATTAATCCTAGCCAAATTTTGACGTTTTGGAAAGACAAAACGGCAAAGCTGTATTATCTGCAGTTTCAAAAACAAGTTTAAGACCATCTTGTGGGCCATTTTATGTTTTAAACCCACCGCTCCATTTTTCTATTCATCAAAGACTATCCCTAGTACTACTGGAAAAATTAAAAATATCATCAGAGAAGTTTATGGCTAGTTAATAACCCCTGCTCCCAATGCAAGAATTATTCCCACCCCCCGCCCCCCATTTCAAAGGACCTTTTTGAGTTATGGTGCAGTGTATAGGAAGGAGAAGGGAAGCTTGTGAACTTGTGCCTTGCTAATCTAGAACATGTAATCATGGAGGTACGGTCCCTCTTAAGGGCAGTTGTGGGAAGTGCAAATGTGCTGTGGTCGGGAGAACAGGCCCGGTATCCCTCCTGGTCCTGCTATTGCTGCGGGGGCCATGCTGGCTTCGACAGGTCCCCGCTCCCGTGCCCCCTGGTTTCAGTGTCTTTTCCTTCAAGGAGTGTAATAATCATTGCCCTGACAGTCTCACTGCCTTAGGGTAAGGATTTCCCTCCCACCAAAGAGAAGTCAGTGAAAAAGTTTCCTAAGCTCTAAGCTGCAATTCAGATACTATTTAATCCTTATTCTCTGTTGATCTCTAATTTCATAATGGGAACGAGAGCCAGCAGTGATAAAGATAGCTACTAAAGAATTCTTCGGCTTGGACCTTTAGCAAGGAAAACAAGGACCTTGTAATTGAGTTTGTGAGATGCCGTGGTATCCGACGTGGTATGTTAGGTACAAAAGGGTAATTTTATCAGGCGCTTGGTTCCTACTGAAAGCGTGCTCTCCAGATCATAACCACTTCAACAGTCCCAGATAGGTTTTGAGTTATTAGATGGGCAGGCGGGTGCCAGCATTTCCTAGGCCGACAGTACAGTTCTGGGTACCTCTAATTATTGAATTCCCATTAAGCAGCTACATTGGGAATCCTGTTATTAACCAATTTATCACACCGCGGAACCATGTAATCACAGAGTAATCTAATCTGAGTTCTTGTTAACAAAATGACTCGACTCTAACTGTCGAGTTGATTCCTGTTTGCCCTCCCCCATCACTGAGAAGCTGCCCTCAGGAGCAGGAGCTGGAGCAGGCTTCTGTATGGAGGGAGTGTGTATAGCCATGGATGCCCCCTGGGAAAGCCTGCGGTGAGGCCAGCAGTGACCTTGAGCCATGCCCTGCCTCCACACCGTGTCACGCATGCGTGGCAGTGCATCTGCTATGGAACGGTGTTCCCTGGCTATCAGACATATGATGTGTAGTACCGTGTACACTGTGGTCCCCTGGGGGCCTTTCGTCATTGTGGAAGGAACACACCAAGTCACTGGGTTGATCGGAGGCAGACAACGGGCTAGAGAGGGCAGTGTCTGAAGGTCAGTCAGCTGGCCCACTCTGGCTGGCACAGGGCAGGGCTCCCTTTAATCTTAGCCAAATGGTCAGAGAGAAACAGCACCTGCTGTCCTGTCTAGAGCAGAGGACTTGGACAGAAGCCACCAGTGGCCATCGGGCACTTGGACTCTGCACACAGACCCCATCCCTGCAAGTTAGCCAGTTGCCCAGTGCCTGGGGGGAGGCCGTGCCCTGAGCGACAGTAGGTGTGGGGATGGGGCCCTGCGGCTGCCTGGCAGACCCCGTGGTGCGGGTGTGGTCACCGCTGCTGACGACACTACTGTCTTTGTGACTCTTACTGTCTCCCCGCCTGGTGCTGGCATAGCCGGCCATCCCCTGCCCCCCCAGGTCCACATCACCTCCTCATTCTCCAGCCGCCTCTGACACAGCCCCTCCCGCCGCTCTTCTTTGCTCCTTCTCTGCCCTCACTGTGAATAATTATTTGTTTTCATACCATTTCACCTTTCTCCCCTAAATGCACGTGCAGGGACTGGGGGACTGTGGTCCCATCCCGTTCCCAGCACCCGCAGCAGGGCCTGGATCACTGTAGTTGACTACTTAGTATTTACTGACTTAATGAAATGAGCACAGAGCCTTAGAAGATAGAGTCACCTTGACTTTAGTCCCAGCTGCCCCGGGCTGCTCGGGTGGAGTCAGTGCTGTGGCCCATGCCCTGTGCCCCCCTCTCCTCCCACGCCGAGCCCACTGCTCACTGCAGGCAAACGGGGCTTCTCCCGGAGGCACCGCCGTGGAGCCCACTCCGGCTGGTATCTGCCCTGCCTCCATTCTATCAGAACTTCATCAAAGAAGACGGGGAAATGTCTTCTGCAACACACACAAGGATCTTTTTGGAGCTTGGTCCCCACACTTTCAGACCCTACTTCTCTTTTTCTGGAAGAGTCTGCAGTAAGATCTTGGAAAGGATGGACGGAGTCAGCAGGTGATCTTGAGTGACAGCTGTCTCAGTGCTCTGCTCAGGGGAACTCAGGATTGGCACTTCACTCTTCCCGTGGGCTGGAGGAAGGCCTGGGCCCCAGGTGGAGGTGCGGGTGGTGTCTCCACCTTGTCAAGGGTGATCGGCCTCGACTGTGCAGTTTGGTCCTGCTTCCCCAAGGTGGTTCCAGCTCAGAGACTTACCCCTGGTGGAACGAGCAGGTGGGAATGTTTGTGTTCCACGTCTGGGCGGTAGACATCGTGGTCCAGGTCCGTGGACTCTGCTGGGGGTTTCCGCCACTTCCTGAACCCTCCGGGGTCTGTGTGCCCAGCAGCACACCTGAGGCAGGAGGCTACTGGGATTGCCACGCATCTCCCGCAGGCAGGAGCAGCTGCGCTGTCACAGGCAGATGTAGGTCCTGGAGAATGCTGTTTGTCAGGATAAGCAGTGTGGAAAAAGTCCTGACTCTTGAGTTTTAAGAGCATGAACGTGAAGGGGCTGCGGCCAGGCCAGCCCTACCTCTGCTAGGTGTTCTCTCCTTTCATGCTTGAGCAGGATCCAGACTGCAGATTGTGCTGGGTAAGACAGAGGGCCCGGAAGTCCCGGGCTGAGTCCAAGACATCAGTCCCCAGGAGCTGCAGTTATTTACCTTGACGTCTCTCTGTTCCCTGCCTGCTTCCCCTCCTCCGGTCAGACCACTGGTTGTGTTGAGAACTCCATGTGAATAGAATCCCACAACAGTGCATGCCTTAACAAAGCCATGTGCCCTACTCGCCGTGACCCACTGTGATAAATGATTAAAGCAGCAGCCTGTAGTGTCAATTTCTTTGGTTAATCTTTTAAAAATGCAAGTTTTGGGGCACCTGGGTGGCTCAGTTGGTTAAGCGTCTGACATCGGCTCAGGTCATGATCTCGTGGTTTGTGAGTTTAAGCCCCGCGTCAGGCTCTGTGCTGACAGCTCAGAGCCTGGACCCTGCTTCAGATTCTGTGGCTCCTTTTCTCTCTGCCCTCCCCTGCTCGTGTTCTGTCTCTCACTCTCTCTCTCAAAATAAATAAACATTAATTAAAAAAAAAATGCAAGTTTTAAGTATAGGGGCTTTTCTTTAAAATTATTATTCTGTACGTTTCCAAAGAAATAAAATTGTGTCCTAAATCAGACTGCTCCATCAGCTGGCATCCAAGCTTTGTTTTCTTCCTGGAGACTCTGCTAGGCTTTGTAGTAACACCTCTCCCTCCAACTCCCTGTGCAGAGGAGTGTGGTTGTAACTTCTCCACTCAGTGCTCTGCTTGTCTGATGCTCCTATAAATACTTGGACCTCACCACAGTTCCTTTAGCATGCTGTCGCCAACTTGAATTAATTTAAGGGGAACGTAGTTAAAACATCCCTTTCTTCAGTCCTCTGTGTGGAGTTGAAAGCGAGTTTGGCTCCCAAGCACTTG